CTACTACTACTACTACTACTACTACTACTACTACTACTACTACTACTACTACTACTACTACTACTACTACTACTACTACTACTACAAGCGACAACAGCAACTACACCAGCAACAGCAACCTGCATCGCCGAACACAAGCAAGCCACTTCAACTCCTCGAATTCTAGACTCGCCTTCGATCGCCTTTCCTTCCCTGTCGAATGACGCAGCAGATGCTTTTCTCATTCCTTTTTTTTGATTCATGTTCCACTCCTGCCTTCCCCCCCTAAACTAATGCAGACTCACCTGTAACAGCATGTCAGCCCTCCCTGTCACAGGGGATGCTGGTCTATGAATTGCAGATTGGCTTTTGACACGAGATGACAGACTCCTGGGGGAAGGGGAGGGGGTTGGAGGGCCAGCTCGGGGCCCAAATCTATGCAAATCGGCAGCCAGTCAGTCGCATTTAGACAGGAAGCATTGATTCTGAACCGGCTCGTTGGACGCAAGTTTACATTGCAGAGCGAGACTGAGGCGCTACCGTGCTTACGCTTCTTTTGATCAGCAGACAAGCTGGGATCCACCCCCTTTTTTCTTCAAAGCAATTGCTCCAAATGGTAGCACGAGCGCCTTCTATGTACTGTCTGTCTTGTTCAGACAGTAGTGCCGTACATTCCGACGAGGAGGCAATATCTGCAGTCAGATATAGATTTGTAGGCTTCGGGAAGGATCCCTGATTCGGGCAGTATGGGAGGCACGATGACGACTTCTGAGGGGATTGGAGACGGGGATCATATTTGCTGTTCTGAACCGTTCATAGGCATACACATACAGGTGCAAATGAGGGATGATGTCGCGAATGCACGACACTCTGGACTTGAGCGAGGCCGTTCTAGAATCAGGCCCGGATCCGCATTTGACGGCTACCAAGTGATTGATAATGCATTGTGACTCCATGGTTCTCCGACATTGCACCATGAACATCACTGTGGCCAGACTACGTGGAGATAGACCTGCCAATTCCCCGAGGACTATCCATGTATATCATGATAGACACTTTCCCCTAACCAGCTTGTATCAGAGGTAGCTAGCCCCTGAAACCGAGACAAACCTCAGCGATCCTTGTCAAGTCAATGACATCTCTCTCCCGCCATAATGAAGGCAGTAATCACCAACCCCAAAGGAAGCAATGTCCACCGCAAGTCATAGAAAGACCACGGAGGTTCATTCCATGATGAGACCCACAGCAAAGCACCTCGCCATATGTAGCAGTGTCACACCATCACGCACTCAACTGGCAGACGAAAAAATAAAAAAAAAACAGTCAAGTCATTCCCCAACACAGTAAGTTCCCTGCATGAACCAAAGAGCAACTCGATGCTATGCTATATCCATTGACTAAGCCCCAACGTCATAAGCCTAAGTAGCAACGAAGCTCGACGCCAAATCAGATCCACCACCATCAGCATGAACAAACCGGTAGCGCTGGCTGCAGTGCATCACCTTTCCGCAGAACCTGCGAAAATATATTAGCATCGTGCATCTAAGCCACAACGTCTAGAACCTCCACCTCCACGACTTTCCATTTCCGAACACGGCATCGGGCGAGATAGCTCCGCTCACCTCCATTCGTTTTGGGCGTGCGCAGCGAGCGAACCTCTCCTCCCCCCACTCCACAGAAATCAAGGTAGTTTTAGTTAGTGCAACGATGCACCGCTTGGAGCGAGAAACAAAGAGTAATGCAGGATGCTGCATCTCTGCGTTGCAGCTTGCCTTTTCCGGGATTTCCTATCCTGCAACTGTGCATTACCGTTGGAGAAGCATCTTGCAGTAACTAGTAGCCGGGGGCTGAGGTTTCGGACGAGGCTTTTCTCGAAGGCATTTGGTTTTGGGTGTTGCGGGGGAAAAGAAAACTTAACTAAGTTATTACTTCTCCTTTGCACGGACAAGGAATGTTGGACTGTGTACAATGCTGTGGGTCCAAAGGTGTTGTTGGGGTTTTGTCAAAGCACAAGCAACAGTTTCAAGAAATACTGACAGGAACTTGTCACCGCTGGTTATCATGTGATCTTCGTTGCTGCGCGGCTGCTGCCAGTAAGTTACTGACTGTAACAGAAAAGGGCCTCCATAACTCAGCAGCAGCAGCAGCAGCAGCACTGGCACACACTCACACATCCCTCGACTCCGGGTAGGCAAGAAGAAAGGGCAGGGCGAAATTGAGGCTTTAGCAATTCCTGTGCCCTACCTTTGTTCTGCTGCATCTACAGATTTATCTCATGACGATGAAATCGTAGACATGTGAGTGGATAGCCTCATCCTTGAAAGGATTCCAAATAATCGGACTTTTTCTGGGAGGGCACGGAAGATGGATGGTGCTGCGAACATGCACAACACAGAATAAGTCGGTGTCGGTGCTGGTGCTGTAGTAGCACATCACTTGAATCTCTCCAGGATGAGGCTACCTACGATTCTCCATTCATCCGACGATGGAAATCTATCGAGTGTGACATTTTTAGATCCAGACCGGAAGAAGGGAGTAATCAGGGGATCAGTCAGTGATGTTGGCTGTGCGCGTCTCGGTTCATCACATGGCTAGGGTAGACAGAAGAAGAGGCTTTTCCTTTGCATTGACGTGGCTGGCCTCTGTTCGCGGCTACCGAATTCGTGATCCCGTCCCGTGGGACTTGAACCCACTGCAAAACACAAAACACAAAACAATCTTTACTCTCCTTTTTCTCATGACAGTAGGAAACTGAAGAATCCGCTAGACAATCGACTATGTGAAGTCTCTCTAAGTCAGGGACACCAAAAAAAATTAGCTGCCTTACCTTAGGACAAGAATAGCAGGAAAGGCGGCGAGAAATTGGGCAACCATTTCCCCGAGGGAGTCGAGGTACAGGTACTCCGTACATACAGTGAGGAAGTACGCCGGAGGAAGTACAGTACAGTAGATTGCTATACCGCTACTTCGGGATGTCGTTGGCTTCGACCATCACACGACTGCAAGAAGGTGACCCTAGCATCTGATGGTGACTTTCTATCCTAACTTCACTGTTGTTCTTCATCCCCGTTTGCTCTAACTTTCCTCTTGCGTATGTGGGTATGGGTATCTGTGCTATATACTGTAAGTATTCTGAATCGACTGTACTGCGTAAATATCAAATAGTTCATACAAATTACATACTTTCGTATAATTGTGTACCATCATGAGCAAGATAAAGAACCAGGGGCAAAAGGTACATACATGTGAGCCAGGTACGAGAATTCGATACCGGGGGAATAGCGATCCAGTCAATGACTGGCTCTGGAGATGGTACCTTCGCAACCCATGTGAAAGAAAACAAATCACAAAATAAGAAGATAACCAACTATTCATCTTGAAGCTCTGATGAGAACCTACTACTCCGTACCCCGTCCAGTTTCTACATAAAGAGAGATAGCAAAGTTCATCCCTTACAATAGGGAAGTTATGTCAATGGAAGCCAGAATCCAGCCACTGCACAACACACCCCTCCCCTCGAGGGGCCTCGATCTATAACCTCCGAGAACCAGCAAAGCAACCACCGCCCAACCCAGCCCAGCCCAGCCCAGCCCAATTGCCAACACAACCCACCCATCTCCCCAAGTTCCCCAGTTCCCCAGAATATCTCCATACGAATGGATAAAAATAGATTCACATCAGCATCTTCAAGCTACTCCGTACAGAATACCGTAACCTGCATCTTCAGCCTTGTTCGAGTCCGAAAGCGGCAACCCGGAATAAGACCCATAGATAACCATCCCTCGTCATCCTCAACTACGAAGTAATTATCAGTTTGATCATCATACCTTCGCATCGTCTAGCACATGACCGGTTCGCTCACCAAAAGTATGAATCGGAATCAACCAATAATATCCATCCCTCCGGACTACTACCCCTTAACGCTGAAACAAGTCGACGCGAATTCAGGAACAAGCGATAGGAGAATCCTCAAACATCACATGAGCATTTCCGACCCCTGTGCCTCTTCCTCCTCCTCCTCCTCCTCCAACCTGGTCCGTCAGCTTTTCAAGGTACAGTACACCGTCGAGATGTCAGAAAACTAGGCACCCCGCCCCATCCTTCCAACATATGTCAAGCGATCTTCAGCAGGAATAGTCTAAATGCATTTTCATGCTTTATTTGAGTCATCTCTTTGACTTGTCCGTGTTACGAGACCGGGTACCTCGTAAGCAGAGAGCTCGTTTCATTGTGCTTGCCTCTAGCTTACAGATAGCTCTGCTTCCTTGGAACTCCGAAACGAGGATATGAGGGAATAGGACTACATCGAAACTCAAACCCAACCTCCCTAGATCAATTTCCGGGGATACTGACTTCAATTGACCCTCGCAAATGGGGGGACTTCTTGAGCTGATGAATCGGTGGCTTGAACCGTAGATACACATAACGAAAGCAGCCCTATCCGGGGCAAGAGACCGAGAACCAAGGCTGAGTGGGCAGGGGCGGAGGGGTTGAAACGGGAGCCAGGCAAAGTTATACGATGTCTGACACCGGGAGGCGGGGGAGTTCTTCCGGATGGAGGTAGTATCATCTCGTATCGTCGGATGTTTGGTAGTGGTGGTGATGATGGTGATGATGATGATGATGGCTTATGGCGTTGATTCTTTGTGTGTTCATCCTGTATTATGACTAGATTACCCCGTCGGAGTACTGTGCATTCCTGTTTAGGTTCAATCGGCCCCTGCTTTCGAGGCGTAGCTGGGTATTCGTTTGATGCAATACTTAGAGGTGACGTGCATTCCTTAATGCTTGGTTCAGAGTCGGCGTAGGGTTCATCCAACCTGTGTGTTTTTTTACTACCCCATATATCATTGAGCTGAGAAGATGGATAATGGGGCATGCGAAGTGATAGGCTTGAATGGCATCAGGTATCAACGGGTTGCGAAAGTCACCGCGTGACTTTGCCTTCTATCCGAGCAACTGGAATTGAATAATTTCCATAGAACTGAGTATACAATCTAGAGATAAACCCGGAGAACCCTGAGCTACGGAGCTCTGACTTTCCCGTAGCACGAGCGAAATTAGATGCCTTACATGTTCCACCCACGCCTGTGAAGTGACATGCATTGCTGCTGGCCGTCTTTCTTGCACATGAACACTCCACTACCGAAGGGACAACCCTCTCCCCCCTCCCCCCTCTTCCCCTTCTTTCGTCAATGGAAGTGTAGGTGTAAGTGAGTTCGGGGTAAGCAGGTACAACACATGGTCTCTTTATGCTTTGCGCCTTGGTGCCTCTCTTCCTCTCTCTCTCCTTTTGGGAATGGTCAACAGGAGAGGAAGGGGACGGAGATTTAATGCACTAATTACGATGACTGGAAGTTCGTCTTGGAACTCTTTCCCCTCGAGTCATGACGGATGATCATCAGTTTGGGGTGTGGGGGGAAGTGGGGGGAAGGGGGAAGGGGGCAGGGGGGAGGGTACCTACTCAGGGGTCCAGCCCTGACTGAAAATTTGGGGAGGAGGAGGGGGGTGTCCATTTTCGGCATGCCTCCCCCCGTTCCCAGAAACCGGGACATCCAGCATGCAAGCAAAGATTAGCTTTATTGAAATAGCTTCTTTAGGGTCCCATCATGCCTGCCTGTGGTAGTTCAGTAATTAGTAAGACAGTAGTGCCATTTTGCTAGAGAACAACTCGACCCTTTGCTTCTTACAATCCAGGAAGACCCCAAAGAGATCGACACAGCCAGAAAAGATCGTGGGTGCGGATACTACGCTCACCGTGCCGTGCCTCAAGCACACCAGCAATATGCGGCCGTCTCTATTGGGAGAATAATGATACGTAAAGCAACAACTACTATCCTGCGAGTCGTATCCTCTGGTAGTCTTCTCCTAGCCTCTTGCGCGATTTTCCTTCCTTCAATGGAGGGGAGAGAGAGAGGGGGAGGGGAGGGAGGCAGTCCGACATCCGAATGGATTGGTAGGGTGACATCGCCATCTCAGTCATTCCCCAAAGGACAGGGCGAAGGACGAGTTCGGTCTGTATGTACATACTGTACGTAGAAGGCCAACTCCGGACCAGCTTACTTCTGAGCAAGGCGCACCCACAAAACAAGCCATCGTGCCGGAGGTGCCCCCGTAGCGCTTCATCTTCAATCCGGGGTAAGCCCCTCCCTTCCCACCCCCCTCCATCGAACGTGTCTGAACTGTAAAGAACAAGCCGCCATGCAGACTCGAGCACAAAGATCAGATAGAAGATTCCTTGGAGGGCTGCAAGCTCTGCTCTGTACTGTACTCTGGCCATGGCATCGTCCGCTTTTATGAGATCTGAGTTGCGAATTGCTGCTAACATCCTATGCTAGAATGGAGAAAGAGCCGTTAGAAAGGCGACAAGGGTTTCGCGCCGGTTTCAACTTTCTTCAACCTTTTTCCTTTAAAGATCATAGAGTTTTAGACTATGTTTGATCGACTCGTAACGGGCGGCAAGAAGCAAAGTATACGGTAGGTTGGGGCTGGATTGCCACATGATCCTTGTCGAAGAAGGGACCAATCTTTCCACTCATCTGTCAATCCCATCGAACATTCATCGATCGTCGAACAAGGCCCGAATACTTGAGCAAGAACACGAACCTACTGCTCTTCTTCATTCACCCTTGCATTTTTTCATATGAGATCGCCCCAATCCTTTCCCTCCCCCCCTGCCCCTATGGGTGTGTGTGTGGCCTGGGTAGTCAGGCTCGGTGCATAATCTAGAAATCGCGAGTCCGGTTCCTCGAACGAAAGGTCGCATTCAGAATTTATCCACACTTGAGAGAAAGAGGTGAGGGGAGTGCATTCACTACCTGTTCCTGGTAGTCATCCTGGTAACATGAAGATGATCATCCCAGGGTTCTGGCTGGCCGGGGAAGGCGGGCCGGGAAAGATGGAATGTGACCGCTCAGAAGACCCGGTAGGACGGACCAGGGTCAATCGTCCGACTTAACAAAAGAGTATGGATAAATAGAAAGAGGGCACGGACTGAGGAGCAAGAAAGCAAGAACACTGGCGGGGAAGAGAGAGAGACAGGAAACAGAGTACGGGATAGTTTGAGAGAGCAGTCTGGTCGATAGCGCTCGGGTTTCAAGATTCAATGTCGGTCTGTTGTTAGTCGAAAGCCTCGATCCGGCTATTTCTTTGTATGTTTCAGCTCACTTGGTATCCCTTCCAAGCCATGACCCGTGAAAAACCGTTATCCGTGCGCAATGCAAAGCTTACTAGCTATGTATGTACTGTAGGATCCGGAGTACATCCAGAAAAGACAAAACCCAAAGCTGGGGTTCAGGGATTGGGCCAATAGTCACAGAATGGATTGACGAGGACACCTACGTGGACACATACATACCAGCGCCTGCTTTCATATATCAATATCTTGGAGCCGATCAATTGAGGTCAAATGCCAGGCCCGAACCAAAAAAAAAAGAGAACGAAAATACCTTCTAGATCGTAGAGCCGAATTCCTCCCCCAAGGGCGGAATCAACGGTTAAATGCCAGCCAGAACACATGTCTGAGCTCCTCCTTTCTACGCCAGCTCACATACTTTCGATCGGTTCCTGTAAGCGATCATCCCCAGGGCGAATCCCCGTTGATTGACGGCACCGTTAGCTTTGAAAGAACCCTGTTGCCTTGGAAGTATACAGTCCACCCTCCGGGGGAAGGGAAGGGTTCTCGGGACGTGGTCCCAGAATCGGCAAAAGCGCATGGTACAGCATCACAGGTTATGGTTGCTGGATCCAAGGGCGTCGCGAACTTTGTCGAGGGTTTGGTAGCCGGGAAGGGATACTCCGTGGGTGAGACTGTGCCCATCCTTTGTTTGCGGGGCGCATTGATGGATGCATGGTCCCTTTTTTGCCCCTGTGTCGCTTCTGTTGTTGTTTTTGTTTTTGTTGATGCTGGTAACTGGTGCTGCTTGACATGATGCAGCCGCTGTCCGTTAACACAACACTAGCCCCAACTGCTCCTCCCATGACAGGTCCTCATTTCAGAGCTACAAGTATTGTAGGATGGTGATAGCGGTGGATGACTGCCAATGGTAGAGCCGATGAGACATGCCTTTGATACATGCAATTCCAATACGCGGGGCTTTTGGCAATGACTGGTGAGATCAGTGAGTTGGTCTGTGGTCAGCGGGGAAGTCAGTGGGATTGACCTCGAGTCTCTTGCGCGATCTCCGGAATGATTTACCCCAGTCCATGCCCGGTGGCGCAAAGGCTGTACGTGCGGTACGTACTCCGTCGTAGTCACTCACTTAGTTAGCTACTCAGTAAGTTAACTAACTAGTTAGCCTTAGTTAGCTCTTAGGTAAGGTAAATGTTCTGCGCAGTTTGACCCCACATCATGTGACACCCTCCCCCTTCTCCTCCCCAAATTTTGTCTTGTGACTTGTGCGGGACTGCTTTGCCACTGGCACAGGCTGAGAGTGTGACTGACTGACTGACTGACTGACAGTTAAACTGACTGGGTGTTCCTTTTGCCCCCCCCGCCCCCCACGTTAAGGGGCTGGCAGGGCCCGCACTGCAGGAGAAATGAATTTCCACCGGGTGTTCCGTCTCGAGTCCAATAGCTCCCAAAACAGCTCCCCAGGCTACGCCACAGTCAACGGGTCGGTAGTTACAAGTGCGCTATCGTACTCAAGTAGAACATCACAGAGCGTGATCTCCTCAGGTTCCTCGGCTATTTTCTGTTGGTAACGACGTCAGCTCTGGACTGAATGTGTCCATTTTTCCGGGGGGGGTGATACCCTCCCTCCAAGCCTGCTATGCTGCCCTGCTGAGTGCCCTTTGCCCTTTGCAACCCCCCCCCCCCCCCCGGCTGTTCCACCTGGGCGGTTCGAGACACTATTTGCTCCCTATACCTTTGGCGACCTTCTCGTCCTGGTTGAACATTGATTCAAGGTCATTCTGAACATGACGCCGAATTGACGACAGATCGTCCCTGTAGAAGAGATAACCCGTTCCTTCATGTTGCCTCAAATACGTAGGGAGATCATGGGATGGCGGGATCCTTATTTTTTCTTGTTTCTTTTTTCAATTTCTGTTCATCATTATTGGCTTTCCCTTGATCATCATTCGCAAGATCCTTCGCCTGAAAAAAAAATCGAAATAACAGATGTGGCGGAGGGGTTAAGAAAGCATCGCTTCTGAATAGTGGACTGGCTATCATAAGCTTAGCCGGGGCCGAAGTACCGTGGATGTACAGGACATACTGTACCCCGTAAAATCCGCCCATAGCCTAGCCATGCTGCCATGCATCGGCGCTCTCTTTTCTAGTAGGCTTGAAGGGAAGTCAGTCGAGAGCCGTAGCGGGCTGGGGGCGCAGCTACGTGGCTCGCTCTCCATCGCTATTGTGGAACGATAATCTGCAGGACAGGTCTGGCAGCTGAGCAATTTTGCCAAACGATCATCGACGCTGGCAGCTGCGTGCCCACTATTTTCCTTTTCTTCTACAGAGTATCATTTCCTTTCTTCTAGAGTATTACCCGGTAAAGTACGAGTTACGCGGTGGAGATGTTAGGCTGGGGCGACGAGGAAAGCGAAAAGAGGCATGCGAAAACGAAAGGGCAATAATAATAATAAGCTCACGATCTTTAGCTGATTACCAACCTAAATCCAGAGGTGGGTTAGCTTGTTCAGGCTACCCTTTCTTTCCCGGGGCACACTTCTTGGGAGGAAGGGAGCCTGGAGTGGGCCGGAGGTGTAGAAACATAGTAGGGGGACGGGTGCAGGCGCCGGCGCGCACGCACACGCTGATAAACATTATTGTCTGCATTCGAGAGATACAGACATGAATATGCACGCAGAAGAACAGACGCAGTGGTTTGAGGTCCAATTATTAGGTCGAGAATCTTGCTTTGACACCCGCCGATCGTGCGACTTGATCCAACCGATTTCCATCGACATATATACTTCATTCTCCATCGACTACCTTGGTTGAGGGTTGGAGAGCTCAATGAATGTATGTACTGTATTCAATAGAACTGTAAACCCTCCTAACATGAGGCTTTTACTCCCGTACATGGAACCATTCACCGTGATTCTCCACCAGAGATATCATTCTTCTAGGTGCTGACCTCTTCAGGCACTGTGATTGATCCAAAGCGGTCCCGGGACCAAATGACCAGAAGGTTTTAAACGCCATGCAGATCGGCTCTTTGCTCAACGTCTTCGGGCGACTAAACTCGAGAGGGATATCCGAAAATTTGCGAGGCTTACCGGTAGATAGAATCCTTCAGGCAAACCCCCCCCCCCTCCATTCCTTCCATGGATGATTCGAGTCGGTCGGGTCATACACAATTTACTTCATCTAAATACTCCGTAGACACGAGAGATCGCATCATCACGGCGGCAGTCCCTCCCTCACCCCCTCACTCCTCGGATTTCGCTCGGCTGTTTTCACCCACCACGGGGAAATAACGGGGAGCGGAGGAAGAAGCCACCGTCAGAGATTAAAAAAAGGGTGCTTAGAAGAGAAAGAAGGATGGAGACGGCGAAAAAAAAAGCCAAAATAAGCTAAACGAGATGGGATGGAGGAATCTCTCCGCGTTTACGAGTAGCTTGAACGTTTTGCGGTTGCGGTTGCGGTGGTGCCTTGAACTCGCCTAGAAAAGATGAAACCGAATCTTACAACCGCTGCCCATGTGAGAATCCCCGGGGTGTTTACCTTAGTTTTGTTCATTCGACCCTTCAGACCTAACCTAAAGACCTAGAACCTGCCAGGTGGGAGCATCACATGATTACACAACGTGGGCTGACAGGCGAGGAGAACCAAACAAGAGAGGCAGGCTGTCAGCTAACTCTCTGATTTCTCTCCCTTTCTCTCGTAGTCTCCCCCCTATCTTCATTATTGCTCTCCCCCTCCATCACGACAGGTCGGGTGGTGATGATTGACAGACTGATTGACTGATTGATTGATGATAGTGAATCGGGCAGATCTTCTGCATCCCAGTTCCCCGAGCCACTTACCTGGAGATCCGCGACGAAGGATCGTAGCTGTGGCGTCTTCAGTCTCTCTGATTATACCTAGTTCGGAAGTCAAGTATAAAAACAACGGATGTTTTATCCCCGAGATTTTTTGTTTTTTTTGATTTTTTTTGCAGGGCCCCGTGACGTGAAAAAAAAAATAAAATAAAAAAGGGGGTGCGCGTTAATAAGAAGCCTAAACCAGATAGCCGGGTAATCTAACACCAGATCAAATCTATAGAATGCCTGATAGTAGTAGTAGTGTTGATGTCGTTGGTGCTACACAATCATTCCTCCCCTCCCCCTGGGGATATCCATGTTGGGCTCTTATCATCGTCGTCACTAATGACGAGCGAATTGACAGCTGGCAATCCTCCTATCTTGTGACTATGACTTGGGTCGGGAGGAAAAGTGGAATGAAGCCACTGTGATACTCGATGTATCTGTCGCTAGTTGATACACAGACACAGACACACACACACACACACACATATATCAGCTCACGAATCCGAGAGGGCTCTTTTTGTTCGAATGGATCAATGTCAAGTAGATACGTCCGGGTTGGTGATTGACATTTTAGCGATGCCTCAGGCTCTTGGGGTAGTAACTTCAAGCCCACATCATCCAAGCGTATGTACCCGTACTCCGGGGTTCTCCAATGCCTGAAGACAAACTAGGAGCAGAGAAGGGAGAAAGAGAACATTCTAACCCCCGGCATTGACACATAATTGCTGCAGACCGCAACAGGGAACAGAAACAAGATCATCACCTCCACCAGAAGAAGATAAGGTCAGTGCTATCTAGGTAGGTAAGACGATCACCCAGATCGGAACCGCGGCGCTCTTCCCCGGTATGCGACTCCGCCTGGGGGCATTTGAGATACTACATACCACCGGCGAATACTTGCAGAGTACGTATTGCGCGGCGTACCAGCAAGGTAGTTCGAGGCGGGGACGGGGGTTGTGCTCAGGCCATTTCAGCCAGAATGATTGTCCCAGGATACATTGATAGATCATATGGCATGGCAATGTTTTTGTTGTTGTTGTTGTTTGAAACAAATAACATACGGAGAGAGACTGAATGGGATAAGAAGATCAGGCAGAGATGCCTCAGGATCAGATCGAGGCCAACTACGAAACCAGCTACCGACGATATTGGCTCATCTTCGGGAATAAAAACGTGGCTAGACCCAAGTGTCAAGGGTAGAAAATCCACGGGTCGTTGAAGGCATTATCTCGCTGCGACATGCACCCGAAATTAGGTCCGTGGCGAAAGTAGTCGACAAAACAGTGACAGTCAGCAGACACCAACAAAATGGCCACCGAAGAGGGCAGGTGAGAGATGAGCTGTCAAATGCCCCTGATGAGGCGAGAAATGGATTTAGGCAGTAAGTGCCTAGAATTGACAGCGACAGGGGGGGGGGAGGGTAGATGTGTGGGAAGGAGGGAAGGGGACATTGAGAGGGACTGAAGGGGACTAGAAACAATGATGGAAGTGGCTATATTCATTAGGTCTATCAATAGTGGCACTACTGGTACTGTAGGCGAGTTGACAAGTGCGGAGTGATATCAGCAGTATCTTGTCTAAGCCAATCGTTCGGGATCCATTTTTGGGGGAAGTCAAGTGACCCGACGGAATTGACGGGGTTGAACTCATCCAATGTAAGTAAATGATGTATATTCGGTACTCCGTAGTTAGGTTAGGTCTTGTTAGTGAACGGATGTTTCTCTTGCGGCCTTAGTCAGCGGTCAAGCTGGTCACAGGACAAGGTGATCTTTGTTCTGAATGATTGTCTAGAACATCCCCTGCGCGGTGAGTGCTTTGCTGATTGTGATACGTAATGCAGTCAGTCACCTTGGGTTGATTTGTATACTAGGGGAAAGTATTGGAATATCTTTCCTGGCAGGAATACCTGCCTCTAACGCTTGAGAAGGTATGTCTGGAGGGTGGGAGAGTCTTCCTTCATACTTCATCCGGTACCAAATTTAGCGAGAGAGTCAAGCCTCAAATCGGTTGCAGCCAAGTACAAACAAGTACTTGAGGGAAGCAGAGAGAAGCGCTGCTGCGTTCACCGGCCAAAGTTACCCTTCTGGTGGAGGAATTGAGTATCATTCCGAGGTCCTATACACAAGGGTACTAGGTAACAAGTTCGTACTTTGTTTTCGTAGCCCCACTCCGGAAACAGACCGGTAAATTTACACTAGTCATGACAATGTATGAAATACCAGACGCCCTGCGGGGGTACTCCGGAAGTACCACCATTACCATTCCAAGAATGGAAAAATGCAAGAAAATAAAAATGAAAAGAAAAAAAAAAAAGACAAAATCTATTTTCTCTTCCGAATTATCAGAAAAACAATCACACACATTCACACACGCCCACTTACCTGGCCTACCTACTCGGCACTCTCCCGCTCTCTCCATACATAGGTTCCGGACCACGGAAATGGAGGGAGGAAGAAGAAGAAGGAGGCGCGGCTAGGATCCCTTTCCTGTACATACAGTACGTACATTCACTCTTCTTCTCTCTTACCGCCATCCCTATTGAAACAAGTCCTTTCCCTCGGTACTTGCTGTTATTACTGAGTAGAGTACCTACTTACTGTACACCCTTCATCGGACTTTTCTTTCCCTGTGGCCACCGTCACACTTCCCCCATATTTCCATACTTTTTCCATTTTCCCATAATTTTTATTTCCTTCGATTTTCCCCTTGTACCATTACCAGTTCATACCGAATTACTGTTCTCTCCCACGCCCTCCTCTTCCTCCTCTTCCTCCCCTCCCCCCCCGTCCCATAATCTCAAAGTCTCCACCGACCCGTCGTTTAACTATCTTCCCTTTCCTCATTTTTCTCGCCCGCTCCACCGCGTACTAAGTTTCTCCTCCCCATATTCCTACGGTCGATTTTTTCCCTTCTCTCTTTTCTCTCTTCATTCCCTCCACGCCTCTCCTCGGCAACCTCGCACCTTTCCCCCTCCCCATACTCGACACATCCTCTCCTCTAGACCGGCGGCTCCTTTCGCGAACCTCCAATTTTCGTCCCCAATTGCTTCGACTATTCGTCGTTGCCGGTCTCTACCTTTCTGCCTCGACTATACCCGGACGGGAAAAGAGAATTACCACCCCGTGGCAGACTCCATCCGAACTCGACTCCGACCGTGCATCTCGCGCCTGATCACAACCCGCACCACAATCGCTGATATCTAGATCCGCTGCTTCTTTCGACAGGCAGCTGGGGTGCCATCACTTGCTCAATCGACATTTCTGCAATTTGATTGCGGACTTCCGAACCGAGAAACTCGATCCCATCGACATCGTGGAGGATCAGGGAGCTTCAATTCGCTGCACTTCGCGCCGTACGACCACGCTCGGGGGAGACGGCGACCCCGAAAGTCCCTGGACGGAACACTTAACATCTCTCAACTTGCACCGAATTCGAAATTGTGGCGTCGTTAAAATGCCTTCGCGTTTATCAACCCCCGTTCTGACAGTGGATACGGCCAAAATCCACAAGGTCGACACCGCCAATGCACAGAGCTTACATGGAATGTGGATGGGTAAGCATTGTCGGCTTTTGCAATCAGTCTACTGTGATGGCTGACTAGGATTTTCTCGCCAGTGTTCTCGAAATGCGCCGACTACATGGAAGAGGGACGTCGACTTGAGAATCTCAGCTGGAGACTCTGGACCCGCGAGACATTCTGCGTGGAACCGGAGACTAACAGCGATACCTCGGTTTTGCCACTCCCCCGCACGGACACTTCGGACATGCCAGAACTTTCCGCCAGTGTCGAATCTGCCGCGTCCGACCAGGCTGACAGGATTGAGCAACACATCAAGCGGTCGAAGCTTGATCTCAAGCCTGCAGTTGTTCGTGAGGATTCAAGCCCTCTCTTGAGTCTGGCTCGCGGGAAAGAGAAGCATATCACATCCGAGGGCTTGGAACGCATGGTGCTGAACATCAAGGAGAAGAAGAGCTTGGAGCCTATTCCTCCTCAATCGATGACCACCCCCTTTCCTCCCGTTGTGGATATTACCCCACGCCCGTCCACCCCCACTCCTTCATCCCCTACCGTCTCGACCGCGAAGCGGACGCCCTCACCGCCACCATATCCTCTTCACCAACAGCAGAACCAGTCCACGGAGTCGTGCTCCACCACAGCGCCCGAGGGCAACGAAAGCGACAACAGTGCCTGCGCTGCTGCTTCCGACACCAGTGTTTCTTCTTCCGGCATTATTCCTATGAGATGTGACTTGATCAAGTCCCCGAGCATCGTCCGTGGATTCTCTCCTTCGCTTATATCCTCATCCTACCGATCGCAGCCGAGATTGGCACCCGAGCCTGGACCAGCCAAGCAATCAGGACAGCTTAAGCCTATGCCTTTCAAGAAAAAGGGCGGCATGTTCACACTTGGAGGCTCCTCTGGAGACGACGAGAGCTCCTTTGAAGATCGTATTACGATGCAAGGTCCTCACCGGAGCTCCCTATCGGACGAATTAAGCAAGCCGTCCTCGAGCAACCAAAGTCCGAAGAAGAAGGTGGCGTCCTTCAGAGATGAGAACGGAATTATCAAGCCCACTCGGGAACGGCTCGAGGAGCATGAGGACGCTATCGAGACCGACGATGAAGTCTCTGAGAGCGCCATCGAGGATGACTCTGATTCCGATTGGGAGGATTCGGTCACCGAAAGTGGCCGGTCTAGTGTTGAGGAGCGCGAGCTTTTCCAGCGAGTCGATTCTCGGCCTAACCTCGTCTCCCGTCGGTCGATGCTGACCATGATGATGCATCAACCCACCAAAATGGGCGCAGCATCCCGGTCCACCCCGGCTCTTCAGCGGTCCCGCCTCACTTCACCCAACGGCCCCTCGATCCCGGCTTCACCGCCCGACGACGACGAGGAGAGTCTTACTATGCGCGGCCCTGATGTTCCTCGTTCCAAGCCGATTGTTATGAAGCCTACGCCTCAAGCCATCGCTCATTCGCCCCGCACGACTCGTCGGAATATGCTGGCTACTGAATTGACGGAATCTCTCCGTCGCCACTTGCTTTGGGAGCGTCAGCAAAAGAGCGCCACCGCGAATGCCTTTTTGAAGCGACGCCACACCGCCCACGATATGGCCAATCTGCAAGAGTATCCTGGTCCCAAGGGGGCCCAGAAGGGTCAGACCTCGGGCCAGAATGCAGGTCCCGCAACTAAACCTACCAGCCAAGGGAAGGACAAGACCGGCTCTTGGAATCACTACACCGACTTTGGGCCTTGGGAATACCATGTTAAGGGATGGTAACCACTTCCCTTAGGTTTTACGATCGCTATACCTCGATCTTCGATTATCCTTGAATTTTGTGTCATAACACATCTCATCTGGTGGATATTGTTCATTGACAGTGATACCCGATCATCGAACGCCTTTTTTTTGTTTTGTTTTCACTTCACCATGTAAAGACCATCGATTGATTATCATCCTTGTGACACGTACCATCACGACTGCATTGCATATTGGCGCACTTCGGAATCATCTGGCCTTGTGTTTCGACCTGAACATTTTCTCTTTCGGGTCATTGCTATTTTACTTTTGCTATCTTTACATTGCATTGTGTGGCTGTCTGCTACCCTTATACATGGGGCCACTGGGGGGGATCAAGCGTCTTTTACACAATTAATCTTGTTGTACAGATGAACTTCTCTTCTACGGCGATGCACAGTCGGCAGAGACACCTTTGAAAAAAAGGGTCTCCACTTTTCTTCAACTCTTATGATGCTTTGGGTGGACTTGATGCGCGAGCGGTCCATTGGATTCGTCTTCATCTTTGATCCAGGCGGCGGAACAAAAAAACTGAATTGCGTTTTTGCATACATTGAAATAGCCCGTTTGTTGATTTTTTTTAACGCCTTGCTGATACCAGATACCACGTTCCCCGAATTTTCTTTGCATACTGGCCGACTCTTGAGTCGGCCTGCACATGCCGTGTACGCTACTTGATACTATTTTTTTTCTCATCTACCCAACCGCTGTGTATGGAGGAAGCTCAAAAAAAAGAAGCAAAATTTGAAATAAAAATTCATAACAAAGCAGAGCAATATTTCCGTGAAGTAAG